GAATCAATAAACCTAGTGGTAGCCTTTGCCTGTCATTGATGAAAAGTCAAAAATCTTTGTTAAGTCTGGGAGCCCATGTATGAGTGCTGTTGGCAGCCACTCATTAATATTAATCAAAGACCCAATGAAATTATTCATTTTACACTTAAAGTTAGCTTTCAATGCTTGTCAAGGATTCATATAAATACTTTGCAGTAAATCTAAAGCTGTCTATCCAAATGCAGCGAAAGTCAGGAATCTGCACAGCTGTCTGTTGTGGGAACAACTATTCAGGCAAGGACCTTCAGCCTGTCTAAAAGCAAATTAACTGTGATGTTGAGGCAGTTCAAAATCCAAATATTTCACAGAGGCATGGGGGAGTTTGGGGTTTCCCCTGTCTGCCAAGAAGTTTAAAGCCATCTTTGGTGGTACTAGCAATCAAGACATCATCCAACCGTTGAAGTAATGTTCTTCACTGGATCTAGAATTCTTTCTTTTCTAGGGAGCACTTCCACGAATGTGGTAGAAGAGTTATTGCATCCTGGTGTCAGAAAAGCATAACAGGACTAAACAGTTTGTTTTTAGTCTCTGAGTCATCCCATTCAAAGGTTAAAATCTCACGTAAATTGACAGTGAACTAGCGAAACTTTCCTGAACAAAGTCACCATCATTATAATACACAGTTTATGGCCTTCCAATATTGGATGAAAGAGTAGAAAGGCTACAATAAAAGAATGTATCTCCTATTCTGTCTGTTCTATCAAGAGATAACTACTTTACCTTGGGACTTTCACATTAGCTTTTAGTTGTCCCTGTATGTGGATGGCAGTACTTGTTCTTTTGTCCTCTCATCAGCCTATAATCTTGATTTGTGTGAATCTCTTTCTGTGTGTGTGTGCATGTGGAAAGATAGTTTCAAGCAAAAAGAAAAAAATAGTGTCTATGGTATATTTTGCCTTCCAATGAATTTTCCTCCATTGTAATAAACCCAGGCACAGACTCGAATCAGCATTAAACAATAGTTAAATTGCAAAGACATATAGGGGGAAACAAGAGCGATCCTGACAACCTCTTAACAGGAGGTAATATGCACAGAACGGCGGGGGGGAACCCCAGAGTGGAGCAGGGGAACAGTAGGAGGCTTGTATCCCAACCATGAAGACCTCCAGATCCTCACCAAGGACTATCAGTACAGGCACCAAGGACTACATCCCAACTGCCAAGGAGACCATGGGGAATTGGAGTGCCTTCAGAGGCCAAGAACTCTGAGGTCATCCACCCCTATTTGGATCTACCACATGGGATGGAAAAGGCCCAAATCCTTCCTTGCAGGACTCAAGGTCTTCGGAACGACAACCAGGAGCCCTGAGCGGTCCGCAGAGACAGAAGAACAGTAAATTTCCTTCGGGACTAAGGAGAGGAGCTTCTTCTGGTCCCTGCTTAGCTCCAGCTTTGGCTCCCCACTCTCTCTTGCAATGACCATCAGGATCGCCCCAGAGCACCGCCCCCAAAAAATCAGAATAGTTAGAGAAATACGAGGAAAGCTTAGAATCAAACAGGAAATGATCAGCGTGGATCCACATATACCTTACTAGGTGGGACACAAACATTAGTTACTCCTCACTAGGGTATTGAAGATTTCTCTGCACACCCCTTCTAAAACTGTTCTGCACCACAACTGTTGACACATGCCTTGTTAGAGTTATCGAGTTAGACTATCCTAAAATCTACCAAGTGCAGCAAAATTATGCAACAAAATAACACAGTAAACTGATAAATACTAAAATGAAAACAGACACGAGACAGCCATTTCAAGGTGTATAGCAGCCGGTTCTGTGTACAAACAAAAATTGAAGGGTCAATGAAGTAGTCACAGGATGTGGTTAAGAACTTGCATTTTCTAACATATTGGTTACTCAATATCATGTCAATTAATTCCATAATGTTGTAAATTGTTGTTGATGTTAAGTTGGGGCTTTTAATTGATCAGGATGATATTCTGCCAGCTCTACCTTCAGACCAGAGAAGGTCTCCACAAGAAACTGTTGAATTTATCTGGACAATAAGATGCTGGACTCTATATTTGGTATATGTTTGCAATGAAACAATCTTGACTTAATTTGAACTGTAATACTGCAACAAGGTGGAGGAATCCACCACAGGGGGGAGGGCATGGAGTGGGGATGGGGGAATTTCTGAGCCTATGAAACTGTGTCACATAATGCAACATAATTAATAATAATAATAATAATAATAAACCCAGGCACAGAGAGTTTATTCCAACAACCACAGTACATGAAGACTGGTTGGGGGGTGGGGCAGGGAAGGAGTGTGTGCTTAGGTTAGGGGTGTCTTGCTGTTATGGATCAAGGCAAACCTTGACAGCAACACTTAAGAAAGAGGGGGAAGGCTCCTTAGATGAATTAGCAACAATAAACACAATTTGTAATAAATGATAAAATTGGCGGGCACTGTAGCCTAGCAGCTAAAGTCCTCGTTTACACATGCCAGGATTCCATGTGGGCGCCAGTTCTAATCCCAACAGCCCCACTTCACATCCAGCTCCCTGCTTGTGGCCTGGGAAAGCAGTCAAGGATGGCCCAAAGCCTTGGAGCCCTGCATACGCATGGGAGACCAGGAGGAGGCTCTGGTCTCCTGGCTTTAGATCAACCGTGGCAGCCCATTGGAAAGTGAATCAAACAGATAGAAGATCTTCCTCTCCATCTCTCCTCCTCCTCTCTCTCTCCCCCTCTCTCTGCCTTCCTCTCTCCCTCCCTTTCTCTTTCTCTCTCTCTTTCTATATATATGTATCTGACTTTACAACAAAATAAAACAAATCTTTTAAAAGTGATAAAATCTTGCTCCCCTAATCATTCCAATTGCTTTGGGTAGCTAAAGGGTGGCAGTTGGAACTTTTTTAGATGTGTAAGCACTTGAAACCTACCCCAAACCTGCAGACTGCATTCTAAGATGATGTTGGTATACACAGTAGGTATGGGAAGCATAACCTTGAAGTGTCACCTATTCAGATAAGGTGAAATTTTACTCTGTATCATACCTTCAATATAGGACAACACACCTTACCAAGATACAGAAGACAGAGCTTACAAATTTAGAACAAATTATGTGTAATAAAACCTTGCCCTTACGTAACTTTATATTTTAGGCATATTGTTAAACTGTCCTATGTATATAATGTACTAGTTCTGGCATGACATAATGCTATGTCAATTTTGTGAATGTGTATTATAATATCCATTAAACTATTGATTTAAAAGTGAAAGAAGATGTAGATCAGTTATACAATAACAATGTTCAAACTCAAACCTTTATTTGATGAATATGCGAAGGCCTAGGGGTTAATTACTTTAACTGTACTATGCATACAGTAGCTCCTTGATCCTAGGATCACATAACTACCATGTGTTTAAAATGAAGCGTGCATGAACTGAGAAGTGTTCTTTTTGTAAATTTCATGTAAGATTGCCAGAATTAATAACAAATATAGAATATGAAGTATTTATGTAAGAATTCTTTATAGCAAATGAGGTGCACTAACATGAAATGACCTGGGTTTGCCTCTAATTCTAGCATCCTACAATTGTGTACTCTAGGAAGTAGCAGATAACGGCTTAAGTACTTGCATGCTTCCTATATGTGTGGGAGAGGCAAGCAGAGTTCCTGGCTCCTGGCTGTCCTGGGCCAGCCAGGACTACTGTGAACATAGGAGCAATGAACCAATGGATGGGATCTCTCTCTCCCCCACTTTTTAAAAAAGATTTTATTTATTTTTATTGCAAAGTCAGACATACAGAGAGGAGGAGAGATAGAGAGGAAGATCTTCTGTCCTTTGATTCACTTCCTAAGCGGCTGCAACAGCTGTAGCTGAACCAATCCGAAGCCAGGAGCCAGGAGCCTCTTCCAGGTCTCCCACATGGGTGCAGGTCTCCAAGGCCTTGGGCCGTCCTCGACTGCTTTCCCAGGCCACAAGCAGGGGGCTGGATGTGAAGTGAGGCTGCCGGGATTAGAACCAGTGCCCACATGGGATTCCGACGCGTTTAAGGCAAGGACATCAGCTGCTAGACTACTACGCCAGGTCTCTCCCCACTTTTTCTAGTAAATAATTAAAAATCCAATGTCACCATTTTCTTTTTGCATTTGTGTGGTGCCTATTCAAAAACTGAAAATAATATTTGTTTTTCACAGTTTATGTCCATTAGGTAATGATCCTTTAGAAATGTGTAATATCAAAAAAGGTAACTCAAGCATATGAGACAGGGTTGTGAGTGTGAAGCATTATCTTGGCATCTTATGGAACCAACAATTATATCCAGGACTTCAGTGCTATCCTAAGATAAAAGGTAGGGCAGATATTTATTATATCATTTAAGACTCCAGTTAAATTAGTTAAGTCCTCAAAAGGAGTGCCTAGGTGCCATGACCACGTTAGGATCCTGACTATGGTTTCCTGTCAGTGAAGATCATAGACACACTTGTGGTAACTAAAACATTTGGATTCCTGTCAACTGCATTGGAGACATCCATGGAGTTCCTGGCTCCTGGCTTCAGAGAAAACGAAAAATTAGCCCTGAGACCTTGTGACCCAATGTCTGCATAATCACTATGGCCATTTACTGTAGCAGACTGTGGGAACAACATTCTTGGCAATGAACTACACTCTAAACCTCAGGTCACTACTTAGCATGCTTCTTAGGAGTGTTTGTCTCCTAGGACAAGCAGCGGATTTCAGGAGGAGACGGATGTTTAACCATGCAATCAACTAGTATAAAGTATCTTGGATCCTTCTAAGACCACATGCAGAATTGTGTCCCTCCACTATTCCTCTGATAAATTGTGGAGAAGACCTGATGGACAGTGTGATCTCACCCTCCCCCAACTAGACCTGAATGTCAGGGAGGAGGGTACCCCCTGTACTATATACCTCAATGAGACAGTCAGCAAATATACATGACGTGGAACAGGGAGACATTTATTGTTCACATATTTTATTTTTCCATTTTTCACTGTTCCAGGTAGCATAAACGCATATTGTCATAAGGCTGACCACACCATATGGTTTCACACATCAGCATCCACTCCCATTGGGACAAATCCACATCATTTCTGGATATCCCAATCTGTCTGCTGATTAAATAACTGAGTATATTGTTGGAGGTTCGGTGACGTTTTAACTGTTGATTTGACACCTTCTCAGTCCCTTTCACTGGGAACTCACTGGGACATGACTTGGATTGTCCTTTATCCATGACTACTTAAAACCATTCACAGCCGCACAAGTCAACACAGCCGAGGAAGCCTGAAAGACATAAGCAAATTAAGACAATCAAGAGTACTTGATACTAAATATCACCTCCTCACTACATACGGAGTACAAATAATCAGACTCACATGCACACACCATTGTTACCAGCAATGTTCACAAGATACTGCTTTTAATATCCTCTGATTTGTTATTTCTCTTATTCTGTCTCCCACCGACTTTGCATTATTACTCCTGTTTCAAATGTTAAATGTGAAGCCCTTGCCATTTTTTGAGTGACTGAAGAAACATTTGAATAAAGGCCACTATAGTCTCATGTTAAATAGTAATTGCCTGTTCCATTAGTCAAAGTCCCCTTTATTACAAGTGTGGGAATGGTAGAATCTTTTCTGCCTCACTCCCTGTATCTGTCAAGAACACAGTTGATCCAAGATGGTGTATTAGGGTAAAGATACTTTAAATAAAACAGAAATGTATCAAGTGAAATTGACAGGATGTGAATCTGAATGATGATGTGGACAGGTTAATGGCAGAGAAATTGATGGGGACCCATGGAAACTGGGAAGCAACAAGTGGCCACATTTCTCACCAGCTACTGCAACTCCATCAAGACACCCAGGAGGCATTTCAAGTCATAGAACTGTGGGCTCAACTGTTCTTTTGTTTGAATGAGAGTCAAGATAGAGCAGCAAAGTCCCTGCAGAAAGTCACAGGAGTAGGATGGAACAGGTGTCCTCTTCTGCATTACCCCCATGGGAGCCATCTTGGGCATGCACCAAGTTGGGGAGAACTCACATCTGATTTCCAATTGACTTCCACATAATTTGATGCCATAAATGCATTTTTTGTTGGTTCCACCAAGAAAATATTACCTACTTAGCTTTGCACAGGTTTCAACCAAAAATAGGTCTGGGTTGTGCCTGAACTACGTTCTAGAAGGCCCAGGCAAGAAAATAAGCTAGTATTTCACACCGAGCTACTCTAGATCATAGAACAAGGAATTGAAAACTGAATAGGAATAAAAATAACCTGCCAATGACATAGTTTAAAGTCATAGTGGTCACCTTACTGGTGCCAGGTGCCATTGGAACCAAATGGAGAGAGACTAAGCAGGTAATGGCATGGCAAGGATCTGGGAGCACTGGGTGTGGAAGGAAGCAGCTTGGGCACAGTGGGCAGGAGTCAGTGAAAGAGTATAAGTGCTTAAACAGTCACCAACAACAGCAAAATGAACAATTGTGTGAAGAAATGGGCAAAGGAAGTTAATAGACATTTTTTTCAGAATAATAAATTCAAATGGCCATTTAGCATATGATAAAATGTTCGGGCTCTCTAGCCATCAGTGAAATGCAGATGAAAACCACACTGAGGTTCCATCTAACTCCAGTGATATTAGCCCACATCCAGAACTCTACTAACAACACCTGCTGCCATAGATGTGGGGAAAAATGTACCCTATTTCATTGTTGGTGGGAGCATAGGCTAGTACATCCACTACGGAAGTCAGTATGGAGATGGCTAAGACAACTGAAAATTAATCTACTGTATAACTCAGCCATCCCACTTCTGGGAATATATCCAAAGGAAGTAAAATCTGCATATGAGGAAGTGATTATTTGTAATCTTATAGTTACAGCAGCACAATCTACAATAGCAAAGACATGAAAACAACTCAGACACGTCTATTCCAAGGAATACTACTCAGCCATTAAAAAGGATGAAATTCTAGCATTTGCAAACAAATGGTCCTAACTGGAGACCATTATGTTCCATGAATTAAGCCAGTCCCAAAAGGACAAAAACCATATGGTGTCTCTGATATAAGACAACCTTCATGCAAAATGCAAGATCAATAACCCTTTCAATACTGTTCATGCTACAGCTGAGGGTTTTTGCTTTATTTTAATTCATATTTCTTCACTGCCTCATAGGTCATAAATTAGCATTATTTGCTTCAAGAAGCTTTTTTATTCTCTTCATTTCTGCAGTGACACACTGATCATTCAGTAGCATGTTATTTAACTTCATGCTGTTGTTAATTTTGTATTATTCTTCCTCTTGTTGATTTTGTTTTATGGCTTTTCATTTAAGGGGATGCATACTAACTGTGTAATAGAAACTATCATATCCAGATGTAAAGATATAATGCAGCATGCACCTTTACTTTCAAATAAAAAATGGACTCCCAATGAAACTACTAAATATATCTAGACAATAGGATGTTAGACTCTGCCATTGTCCAAGCTTACAATGTCAGGATACACTTAAATCAAAGACTGATGCACTTATGACTGTTTATGAGTGACTATATTATTGCAATATTATAGGGGAAATCAGCGAGGGAGTGGGGATTTCGGGAAGGGAGAGGACAATGCCAGAACCTATGAAACTTTATCATAAAATAATTAAATAAATAAACAAAAATTTTAAAAAGATACACTACATGCAGACAAAAAGAATGATACATACCCTAACCAAAGACAAAAGTGGAGAATGCCTCTGTAAAACAAACAAAAGAAATCCAAAGCAAACATTGAAAAACTGTACATTGATGTGATAGGATCAAATTACTACTTGTCAGTATTAACTCTGAATGCAAATGGCTTAAACTCTTTAATCCAAATATGTATGCACACACACACACACACACACACACACACACACACACACACACACACACACAGATTGGATTAAAAATAAGACCCAGATATCTGTTGTTTACAAGAAACATATCTCACTAAAAAAGATTCACAGAAATTGAAAGTGGAAGAATGGAAATTAATATTCTAGGCCAACAGGGAGGATAAAAGATCTGTCATAGCCATTTGAATATCAGATTATATAGAATTTGATGTGAAAAGCATTAAGAGACATAAAGCAGGGAACTACACATTTTTTATGGGATCCTTTCAAGAGCTGGAAATAACAACAATAAATATATGCACACCAAATGGAACTAGCAACTACTGGTGAGGATGTAGGGGAAAAGGTACACCAATCCACTGTTGCTGGGAGTGTAGACTAGTGCAGCCATGTGGAATTCAGCATGGAGAATTCTAAAGCAACTAAAAATTTATCTACCATATGACTCAACTATCCAACTCTCGGAAATATATCCAAGTTATATGAAATCTGCGTATGAGAAAGCAATCTATGACTCTATATTTATGTTCTTCATTTTGGGATTACAGAGCGAATACAGGACTTGCCCAGTTTTTCTCAGAGTAGGGATTGGAACATATGGCATCTGTAGCTAAAACCACTTCTACAATGAGCACCTGTGCAATATTACCCTCTTCTCTCTCCCCATTACTATAAAGTAGGAGCCTTCTTCAGGTATACTTGTTTCGAAATGACACAAAGCGATAGTACACAAATCAATATGTCAGCATGTTTTACCTCTCAGATCCCGCAAGTTTTGTTGGAGGAATGATCTCGAGGACAGGGCACAGTGTCAAAGATCAAGAACCCTGTCTCTTGGTCTCACTCTCTTCCTCTGAGTCCCAGAGTTTGGGCCAGAAAAGCAGTAGCCATGACACATAATGCCCCTCCCCAATACCTTGGAAACACACATGTGGATAAGCCAAATAGCATGGACCCTCCCCTCACTGTGACATACAAACATCAGTCCTGGATGGGATGTGAGAAATGGGTGTGAGAGGGAGAAGACCTGGGCAATGGCACTACCTGAACTTTCATTCTTTGTAGAGAAATCTCACTTACCTTGGCCTCAAAATTCTCTTTGGGTCACAAATAACCTCCATTAACCTGTGTGAGAGGTTGTCTCCCAGGGTCCCAGTGGACCATGACAAACAATTTTTACCTATAATTCCAAGCAGGAATAGCCCCGGATAGTATCTCTACTCACTTCTTCAACTTAGTTCAAGTGTGATAGTACATATTCGTGTAACTTATGTGTTTACTGGGAGACATTGTCACTGTAGGCTGTCAGAGGACATAATCCTCTGGTTAGGTGACATTCCCAGTGTATGCCATACACTATCTAAGCTATCAGAATCCATGTGTATTCCATGTATGTGTTGTCTAGAGGTGGAACACAGTTACCTGGGCTATCAGAGATCTGTTGGTGTGGACAGGGCTGTATATTTCATTCAGCCGTAACCTTCTGAAGAAGCAAAGGAATTAATATGATGAGACATGGCAGCCCCTGAACTCTGCACCATATTCAGTCTCACGTAACACCTAAGGCAATTGATCAGAGAAACTTTTATAGGACCCAGGTCACACATCCCCTGTCTTGATGGAAGGGAAATCTCAGTCTGTAGGTGTCTTGGTGCCAACAATTAACACTTGTATTCAGTGTAAATCAATCAAAATAGGAAGACAGATTAAAAAAAAAAAAGATCAACTTATTCATTTCAGAGAGAGGGGGAGATATCTTTCATGCTTCAGTTCCTTACTTAGATGTCAATGGCTAGAGCTGCATCAGGTTAAAGCCAAGAGCTTATAGCTCCTTCCATGTTTCCTACTAGAGTTCCATGAAGAGTGGCAACTATTTTATCCATCATTCACTGGCTTTCCCAGTCCTATTAGCAGGGAGCCTCACTAAAAACATAGTGCTACTGGAACTCTAATTTGCACTTTGATAGGGTGCAGGTATGTAAGTAGCAACTTATCGTGCTGAACGACTACACTTGCCCCAGGAAGACTACTTTAATGTACAGTATGTTACTATACGAAGAAAATGGAAAATTATCTTTCCCATCTGGAAATGATGTTTTCCTCACCGAACTAGGATAGTCACATAGGAAGTAAGACAGGACAAGTTGATTGATATAAAGTTTACAGCAAAAAAATATTCATATCATGCTAATAATTTAGACTAAGGCATGGCATAAAATACTGATTGTCATTTGTCAAAATTATAAAATCTCTGTACATGTAATGAGTAACAATGATGGAAAATCACACAAAACTTTTATGCACTGCTTCTTAAGCACTCCAATGATAACTAAAATGTATTTT